TATATATATATATATATATATATATATATATCTGTCAAATCAGAGATACTTAGTTAACTGCAATGATAGAATAAGAAGGCATTTTAATTTTGGTCAATAATAAGGCTGACAAAATAGCAGTTTCTCTCAAGGGGAGCTCCTAATTAAGCGCTTTGAGCGAAATTTTTTACTGATCGCGATGATTTTTTATTACCTACACGCTGACTCATAGACTTGATCAGTCTCTATGCTTTGTGTGCTTATACTTGCCAACCAGTCAATTGCTCTCCAACGCACAGAGGGGGCGAAGTTGATCAACCACACTTTCGAACCTCATATTTCTTGGTCTCCCTAATCCGGGTGTCAAGGTCTTACTTGGCCCTACTTGGCTCCTTGTTTTCCCATTCGGAAAAGGTTGTGTTAGCATAAGAAAGACCGTTCCTTCATTGATAATCTTAGAGTTATTTTTGCCTGTCTCTTAAAATGGCTTTACAGTCGGAAGTAGAGTTATGTTATGCTTTCGGCACTAGCATGAAGATCGGTTTTCAAAACTGTGCCTTAAATTTCAGATGACATTTTACAGTTGATTTGCCACTCAGAAACAGGAATCTATTTTTAGAAATCACTGATGCATCCATTAAAATCAGTCAAGCCAAAATGTGAGCGTACAGATTTCAAAAATAGTATACTTATATAGTAACTGATTTTCAAGGTGCTTTAAAAGCCATTGGTTCCACTGTGGGTTTAAAAGTGCACTCCATGACATTCTTAAAAATGTACTATTCATTGCAATTAAGCAAGAAATTCCACAACACATGATTGTAATGACAATGGCGTTGAACGATTGAAGGACAGTTCTGGAAGATGCAGTGTCTATTGCGACTTCGATTAACTATTAGATCCCGAATAACACAAAGTTAGAAGTCGATATGAATGGTTACCACAGTTTCTCTAAGCGAAATTGCTTTATGTGGCATTTGACGAACAGCGAATTCAAAATTTGATGACCAAAGTGAAACGTTTTTGTTTAAATGTTCATGAATTCACTTGACCGAGAGGCGATAAAATAAAGTCAAGGGAAAGGAATTGGATGAATTTCAAGGGCCCACTAAAGCCTGCATGAAATTCCCCCCCCCCACTTTTTCCCCACAAAATAGTCCAAAGATGGAAATTGATTGGAGGGGAACCAGCAAATAAGGAGAAAGTATGATTTAAAAGTTTTGATGCAATGACTGGGAGTAGGCTATTTTATGCTCCATGGGGCGCCACGTAGTTGAGCTCACGTTTGAGCATTTTTGGGACATAAAAAGCTATACTACGTTTACTAAAATACCCTAACCATCTACTCCACCTTGTCAATACATATGCCTAACAATAGAGAGTTGTTTTGTTTTGTACATTAGTTGTCATTGTAGTGACAGTGCTCAACACCAAGCCAATGACCGCAATGAACGAATGTTTTGATCTACTTGAGGATTGGAATTAAGATTTCGCGAACTTGAAAAGCAATTAATGCAAAAATAAATGAAGTTGGACGCAATGAGAATATTATTCTAGTGAATGTGCGTGATTAAAAAATTGAGAATCACATTATCGAAAATGACCCGAAAAACAACCCTAACCAATTGAGAAAAGTGTTGTTTAGATACTTTGCTTGGGAGGAGATGAGGTTCCTAGCAGCGTTATAACTAGGGTTGACATTCCAGAATTATTAAATCGTTTTTATTGATTATAATATTGAAAAGGCTTTCTAAGATAGACAGTACCATGAACTCGAACTTAGCCTATTCCAGTGAAAACATAAAGATGTCAATATTTGATCATTCTTCTCTATAGCCGATTATTCCAACTAAATAAAGTGTCAACTACGTGACTACTAGAATGAATGCTAGAATTGATTAATGCTGATCCACGAAAGAAATGCCAAATTCCTTAAACCAGTGCGTGCACTTCTAACGCGACTTCATGAAAAATAATATTCCCAAAAAGGGCCGGTGGTTAATTCGTGCTTTTAGAATTGATAGAAGAAAAGATTGGACACGAAGGCAAATCCAAAACTTCATAGAAATTAGGTGCTTTGAAAACTCTTTCGTAATGGAAACGAACTTCTCATATGCTATTCCATAGAAGTGGACATTTCAATTTGAACACCAGAGATGACCTTAGAGCTAACCTCCCAATGGCAGCAGTGGATTGGCAGAAACAATATAAATCCCGTAAGAAAATAGGAAGGTGGTTTATTACCATATAGCTATTTAAAATTATTAGCTACGGAAAATTGCTAATAACAACACACTGAACAATCAATGTTTCACAGCGAATGTTAAGGTGATCGCAATGAACTCCAATACACAGCCAAGCACATCTCAACATGCTTTGGGTAACTTTTACCTACTTATATAGCGAATAGTTGTTATCAATACTTCGTTGGCGTTTTGCATAGTACAATCTCATACACAACTACCTCTTGATGTTCTGGTATGAGGTTAGTTCCATATTTAGTTGAAAGGATAGACATCTGGCAGAAACTTGTGAACACAATAAATGATTTTCGGTGAACAAGCCGTGTGTACCCGCTTACGTTTGACATTAGTGATCAAACTTGCAACTCTAACCTTAACAATAGTCTTCTGGACAACACCATTAGCGGGAGCAACTATCTGTGAACACTTTGTAGTGAGACTTTCGATTAACATTGTAAAGCTTGTACATCTCAAGTGGGTTTCAGCATTAAGCACTTCATATTCGACTAAAAACGACGTTCCATAACGTTTATTAACTAGTGACCCGTGATCATTATTACTTGCAGTGTGATACAGGACACGAGACTTTTTCTATCTTTGATACATTGCAGCTTTAATGGCGATACCTCTTTTTGAAGAAGATTTCATTTAAATCCTTGTTTTTAATTTATTAAATCGCATATTATCCTTGAGTTTTCGAATCAGTATATTATGCCTAAACCTAAGATGTAGTCTTGGGACTCAATTGGCTACTCAATTATTCACTCGGCTCTTATAAACCGATGGAAAGACGGTAGAATTAACCAAATTTGAAATTTACCGGTTGAGAAATGATACTATCCAGTGCTAGCAACGTTTTTAACTCGGTAATGGCATTCTTCTTCGACTTGTACGTCTCCTTTGCCGCTTTAAGCTGTTTAAACTCCTCTTTAAGTAGCTCAACCAATGTCCGTTTCACAGCGGTATCTGGTTTAGGCAATTTGAGCGAGAGAGACTTCTCAGTAATGGTGGTGGGTGTGATCTCGGGACATTGAGGAGCTTGAGCAGCAGTAGCAGTGCTCTCTGTGGTGTTGCTCAATTTAATCTGATGAATTTCCTCCATCACTTTCTCCTAAATTAGAAAACCAAGATGGGGAAACGAATAGTATTTTGGTCAAAAAGCTGCAAAACCGAAAACAAAAGCAGAAAGGAAGAATGTGGTCTTGGTTAATTAGAAGATATTGATCACAAGAGGGAAGTGGGAATACTGTAATGAGATTCGTAATTATTAGGTCAGGAAAAGGTGAAAGTAAAGGAAAGTCGGGTTGTGTATGAGTTGTGATTAATTCTGCTATAAATTAAATTTGACAAGGATATGATAATAGGTAAGTGGAGATGAGAATTTGGGATATAATTTTATGAAGCAGTAAGTGAGACAGGAGGCATGTTAGATTATGCAAATATAGGAGAAGAATTAAAATTAATGAATCTCAACAGAAATAAGTTAAAAATAGTAGGATCAAAAGATTTAAAATAGATTGAGTAAAGAAGAATGTTACCACAAGTAATTGTCATGGTGTTGTCGCGTTAACACAGAACGTGCTTGAGACCAAAAAAATTAGATCACAAATTAAATTTGGAGAAATTTCTTAAAATATACGAACACCAAAGCATAACTTATATTTATAAAGATCTAATTGGCTGATTTAACTCACATTATTTTTAAGTCTTTATATGAACTACCAAAATGTAGACAAAGAAGCATAATTGTGCTTAGATATACACTTTAACAGTAACACAAATCCTATACACTTGGAGTGGGATCTTTCTGAAGAACTAACTCAACTTGCATATGACGACAGTCATTGATTTGCTGCTTGATGTACAGTTGATTGTCATTTTAATTCGTAAACTCCAGAATGCTCTTAGAAATTAATGAAAAACGATATGTTTCCATCTAGTTCACTCAGTCGAGTCTATTACCACAACTATCATTTTATGCATTAATAGTATTTCAGGCTGGTGAAAAGAAAAGGCAGAAACGGTGGAAACAAGATACAGAGGATGCTCCAGCTAAGCCAATTTATCAAAAAAAGCTACGAGTATGTCTGAAGCACGAGGATAAAGAGGCTGTATACAACTGCATTGCCATTTATTTTCGAAAATACAGGAAGCATAATTCATAAAACACTGCCAACACATTCAGACAATTTTAAAATCCAAGAAAATCGTACCTTTTTCATATTTAAGAAATTAAGCTAAATACACATATTTGCACTTGAGAAAATGTATTTTAGACCAGAAAGAAAGAGAGAACTACCCTGTACATTGAACCTTGGCTTTTACTCGTTCTAATAACTTCATCGCCGACTCAATAGAAAGAAAACAGAGAGAGAATGAGATAGCATCGTAAATAAAGCATTAAATTGTGAGAGACTATAGGTAAATCAACAAGTAATTAAATGGCAAAACACGAGGCAATAGGCACAATAAGTACCTCAATTTGGGAATTAATAGGAAATTGAAACACAAGTGGTTAGACACCCTAAAGTACCAATTATCAATTTGTTGTAGGATCACTAGAAATTGAATAAATACGATTTTTAATGCATGTCTGCAATCTCATTAAGTAAATCGTCGGTGTTTAGTGCACATATTGGACCCGGAAATAGTATAGTCAAGTACCCAAAGTGGTCAGCTAGAATTTCACTCATCTCTATATTGGCTTAATTTGAGGTGTACTATAGACTTACCTCCACGTGGTGCAACGTGCATTCACACTGGAAAAAGTCAAGAAACCGGCATTTGACTTCAAACTACCATTAACCGTCTGAATGGCATATTCGACCACTTCCACAATACTCACCTCACCTTGCCTTTTTCTATACCTTTGTGCCAGTCTGTCTCTTTTACATCCCTGAATCACTCTTCTGTTCCTCCCCCCCCCCCTCTGTGAAGTCCGAAGTCAACTAAAGGCCTATTGGTGACTATCATAAAGCCTGCCATTTGATAAAAATAAATAAATCTGGAAATAAGTAGAAAATTGAGAACAAAAGGTGGGCAAACATCCTAAAGCCTAAGTTATCAATTTATTGTAGGATCACTGATGATTAAATAAACATGTTTTTTTAAGAGATGGCTTCAAAACAAAATAATTTAATTGTTCCTCTGCATATTTCAAAGAGAGAAAACACACAAAGTACGAAATTTTTGGATTGCTTCAACGCCTAGTAAAAGCGTTCTGAAAGTGTGGGAGAAAAGACTACAAACCTTTCCTTTACACACTAGGCTTTAAACTAATTGTGCTATCGCGTACAATTAAATGTGAGATGAAATGTGAGCCAAGAGAGAAATCACCAGACTAGATCAAAGAAAACTTGCCAGACCCCACTACCCTTTAAGCTTTACAAGCTACATTAAACAGAGAGGTGGAGAACATTTAAATCGCGCGGGAGTGAGAGAGAAAAAACAAAATTAAAAGGAATGTATTAGCCTTAGAAATAGTAAATCGTGGACGTGATTAATTAATCGAAGAAAACGCAATACGCGCGGGTTGGATAACGAAAGGAAAACTGGTAAATAGGTTAAATAGAGGAGGAAGGGTAACTGGCTGGTTTAAATGACGGCTGCTAAAAGTGCTGTGCGATGCTTTGACGAATTAAGATAGCATTTAGAGGTACATACGGAATACGATCACCTTTCACCTTCGGAAAATGATTGAATTAAACACAAAAAAAACTGTTAACATGACATGATTTAAGGGGTATCCACAGCATTCATTTAAAAGACCAAAATGAAAAGTAGTTTTATCATATTCAAATCATACCTCAGAAAGCGGGATAGTACTTAATTCACTTTGGTCCGCCGATTGTTGAGGTGCATTCAGAATTGCACCCGGAAGAAGGTTTTCGGAAGGGGGTTTCGGAAAGTCCTCATCCTCTTTATTTGGACACGGAGCACTTTGATCATTCTGACTCAAATTCTCATCAGGACTGTGTGGCGGAGGCACTTGAAAAAAAGGAAAAATTGGAATTTCATTTAATGCAACAGAAATGATTGCATTTTAATACCCCTAAGATGAAATTAATGACGTATTGCACCAATGGAAGGTAGCTGTGTAATATGTAGAATCATTTTGAAACCCACTGCTAAACTGACGACATGAGAGTATGAGAGAACACAAACAGTTCTAAACAGAAAGCCTTCCTCATGAAGGAAGGATGAAAATCACAAAAGAATAGAACGGAGTACAACTATCCAAGATGCGAACTCCAACAACAAAAATTTCGCAGGCGACAGCATAAATCTGACTTCCCTCAATAGGGGTGTGTGATAGACTTACCTCCACGTGGTGCACCCTGGGCAACGTATACTCATACGGCAAAAAAGTCTATTACCTGGCAGTTGACTTCAAACTACCATGACCCCACTGTATGTCATATTCGACTACATCCACAGTACTTATCCCACCTTTTTTCCACCTTATCTACCTTCGTCTTTGATACACTCTTCTGTCCCCCCCC